TAACACAAAGAATAAATTTTTTAAAACTTTTAAGCATTGTGTCATTAGTGTTTGGCATTCTGTATTTCTTTGCCAGAATTTCGATGTTCACGATTTAACTAGATAAGTTTGATTCTCATTCAGAATTTGGAGGTATCACTGTCAGAAGCCACTTTTTAAACTTGTTGGAAAAATTTCACAAAATCATCTCTCTAAGTTACAGATTCAAGAATCAGGACAATAAAAAGAATGTGCAAAGCGCTGATACGTGAAAAGCCTAAACATATCCACCGTTAACCATGTTCTTTTCTCTTAAAGCACTGACCATAAATTGGCCAATCCACCAAATAACTTTTCTGGTTACTTTTTATTTTTTTAATTTTGTGACTGGGATCACACATACCTGCCATGAGAAATGATGTTCCAGGATCAACGCAGAGAAGACGCGGTGTGCTTGTTCAGGAAGAACGGTGCTGGGTCATTGAAGCTGAGCTGGATGTTAAGGAATCCTAACGTTGAGTATGAAGAAATTTAACATAAAAAGAGAAAGAAAAATTGTGTATTTAAATGATGCTCTTGAGTCATCTATTGTTGAGACATGTTTGGATGGCATGAAGCAGTAAAGCAGTAAAATCACAAGCTTCTGAAGTGTTCCAGGAACCACAATACAGGAAATCCTCGCTGTACTTTTGCAATGATAACACTTTGACCAGCACTAAAAAAGGTGAGGGGGAGGTTTTTTTGGTTATTATTGTTGTTGTTTTTAATGTTCGAAATCAAAGTCTTCTTAAAAAGTTACTTGGAAAATGCCAAAAAAATGGACAAACCGAAGGTAAATTTTGCTTAGTATAATAAAATTGTATGCAGAATTTTTATCTTTAAATAGCAGCCATTTTATTACCTACCTTGTGTTCAGCGCAGTTTAAAGCATTCGGCATATGTTAGCTCATTTATTTATTAAAAATGGGTTCAAAATGAAGATATATAAATATCTTCATTTTACCAATGAGAAAACTGAAGCACATAGAACTAAGTACCTTGCCCAAGGTCACTAAGTTGGTATCCCCATACCTCACTCTGTGCTGCTCATCCCTGCTGACTAACCCAGCCTTGGAGGGCAAAGTTTAAAAAGGTAGAATGGGGAGACTTCCCACTACTGCTCTATGTACACACACACACACACACACACACACACACACACACGCACACACGCACGCACACACACATACAGACACAGACACACACACACATGCTCTGAAACTGCCTTAGCTAATGAAAACCAACACTTCAGTGACTCATTCAGGTTAACCTTACAAGTTCCTTTTAAAATCCGACGGTCCATTCCTTTAAAGTCCTTTGACCATGGCATTAGCTAGTCTAGACTCCATATTTTTACTAATATATTAATTATTATAATTGTTTAGTGTCTTATCTCATTCAAATAATATAGCAATACTTTAATTTACACTGTTTTTTCCTAAGGTTCTTAGAAAAGTAACCCTCTTAGGGGGAATTTCAGGAACACATTGAAATAATAAGATTCTTGAGAGGAGAGACCTTGATCTACAATTTAGTATTTGGAAATGAAATGTACCATTCATCCCTATATAAAAGCTGACTCCTGCATAAGCTTTTTAGTATTTTGTAGTGTTTATTTTTAAGCATTATGCTATTACTATAGATAAACCTCATTGTGAAAGATGGATTTTTAATCAGCAACAGAAAAACAGACAATAAGAAACAAAACCAAAAACAAGAACTACTTTGATTTTTCAGTTTCCATGAAGTCAAAAGGTTTCCATCTTTTTAATTTGCTTCGTGTGCATAGAGCTGCTTCCATTGAACAACCAAAGTTGTTGCAAGATAAATCCTTACTGGAGAATATAAACATGAAAACAACTTAATCCAGATTTTATGCAAATCTTAATTGAGAGAAGTGATTTATAAATGATCCTTTGCTTACTTGACGTCTATTCTTTTTCAATTTTACTTTTGGAAAAAGCTGAGCTAGGAGAAAGCTATATGATCTTGCTTCCTTTTTGCCACATGTAAAATTGCCTCAACTAAATAGGAGTTTAGGATTTTGCTGTTAGCTTTGTTTTGAGATAATATGAATTTATGACAGCATATACAGTAGGGATCATTACTACGCTGACAACATAACAGGGCCACCTTTATTTGGACATTATTCTCAGTTTTCAGGATCATGTTTGGTGAGAGTACATCAATCATTGTGCCATTTTAAAACCTGAGTTCACTGACTCTGTAAAAATTGAAATTGGGAAATACAATTTATAATAGCTTAAAAAACTTAACCTAAATAGGATACTTGGGGGGAATTCCCATAAAAATGTACAACACCTGCATACTAAAAACTGTGAAACATTGCTGAATGTAATTTAAGAATATTGAGCTACAAGACATATACCTTGTTTAAGGATAGGAAGACTCAAAAATAAAAAGGAGTTAACTATTAATACATTTAACAACATAAATATCAAAATAATTATGCTCAGTGAAAAATCCATACAGCAGATGTATACACTGTATGATTCTATTTCTATGAAACAGTAGACAATGTGAATCTGTAGAAACAGAATACAGTGTAACACATAACTATGGGGATGAGCAAGAGGAAAGTATTACATAAGAGCCAAAGGATAC